CTATAGCTATGGTTTGGGGAAAATAGGGTGGAATGTATGACAATCTTAGCAAACCATTACTAAAATTCCCTAAACCAACTGTTGGAAGAATTTGGGGGAATTTAGTGACAATTTGTTTAAACCGTCATTAAGTCACCTAAATTTGGAGGAATCAACTACGGTTTTCCTAGACCAATGTTGATTCCCCTAAAAATGGGGTGGAATCTGCAACAATCCGAGTAGACCATCGCTAAAATCTCCAAAAGTATCTATTAGTTGAATTTAGTGATGGTCCGTTCAAATCGTCATTAAATTCATCTAAAAATGGTTTTTAGCAATGGTTTCACTAAATTCATCACTAAACCCCCCCCCCAAAAATTAGGGTGGAATCTGCGATAATCTAAGGAGACCGTCACTAAAATTTTCAAAAGTATCCGTTAGGGAATATGACGGAATTTAGGGACGATCTGTTTAAACCAAAAAATGCTTTTTTAGCAAGGTTTTCGCTAAAACCCCCCAAATTTGAGAGAATTAGAGACGATCTTCCCGGATCGTTGCTAAAATCCCCAAAAGTATTCGTTAGGGGAATTTAGCAAAGGTCTCTTTAAACCATCGATAAATTCAACTAAAACAATTTTTAGCGAGGGTTTTGCTAAAACTATCGCTAAAACCTTCAAAAAAGAGGTTGGGATTTAGCGATAGGTTAAGCAAACCATCGCTAATTTCCTCCACAAAAGGGTTTTTAGTGAGGCTTTTACTAAAACCATCACTAACAACCCTAAATTTTAGGGGAATTTAGTGGATTGCATAAACCAATGCTAAATCCGCCCAAAAAAAGGTTTTTTAGTGACGCATTCACAAAAGCCGTTGCTAAAAACTCATCACTCGCATCAAACTTGTGAGTTTTTTTCAAATTTTGAGTTATTAGTGACAATTTTAAAAGCGGTCACTAAAAATCAGCACTTGTAACAAAATTAGCTATGTTTTACACAAACTATCGCTAATTCTTAGTATTTAGTGATGGTTTTCTAAACCGTCACTAATAAATGGTCGTAATTTCTATGGTTTCTTTTAGTGTCTTTCCAAGAAAACATATCATGTTTAGTTTAATTCTAAACATATCTCTTAAGAATTATATTTATCAAATTATTTCCTAAGTCTATTTTCAATTTTAATTATCATCTAAGTCAAATTATTTTTTTTTATTATTATGGCAATGTATTAAATTGACTTTTGGCCCCAAAGTTGGGAGTTTTATCAATTTAGCATCGGATTCAATTACATTCTAACATGATTGGTATGTCAAAAAAATTACGTAATTAACTAAATAAGTTTTATTTGGACGTGGATGAAAAAATATTTTGAAAATTAGTTCTTTTATTTCTTATGATAGCATTATATTAATTTTGACGTCGGGCCCTAACGTTGGGAGTCGCTTTAATTTAACATCGGATCCAATTACGTCTTGACATGGGTAGCATGTCAAGGAACCACCTAATTAGCTAAATGTGTTTCAACCGATTTGTTATGTCGATTTAAATTTTTCCAATTTTCCTACGAAAGTGTATTTTATTTTACTAACAAGATAAATTTGATGAGGGATTGTCATCTCGTCTCTAAAATTTAGGAGACTTGATAATCTCTCATCTTGCTAAATAAAGAGTAAGTATATTACACTATAATTATAATTATAGAAAAATTGAAAAAAAATTACAAATAAATAGTAAATGAACTTCAAAAATTATGAAAATTAAAATACAAAGTGAGAACTAGTATAGGTACAGATCCTAAAAATATTTAGATTAAAATAACAAATGGTACCGAGCTTAAAATTTAAATTCGAAACAAATCACATTAATAATTAAAATGGCAAGTCAAATGGTAGAATAGCAAATGGACTCATAAAATTATATAAAAAAAATTAAAAAAACACATGGAAAAACACATATTCAAACCCTACGAATTTAATAATAAAATAATAAAAGATAATGGAATTAAAAATCAACTTTTGAAACAAATCATGTTAATAATTAAGATAAATGATAGAATAATAATAAATATAAAATAAATAATAAATGAACTCATAAAATTATGAAACTTAAATCACAAGACATGAAAAAACATATGTATAAAATATAAGAATTTTAGATTAAAATATCAAAAGGTACTGGAATAAAAAATCAACAACTGAAATAAAGCATATTAACAATTAAAATAAATAGAAGAGAAATAATAAATGTTAAATAAATAGTAAACGAACTTATAAAATTATGAAACTTAACTCACAAGGCATGGAAAAATATATGTACAAATACTAAAAGTTCTATATTAAAGTAATAAGAGGCACTATAATTAAAAATCAATTACTAAAATAAAACTTATTAATAATTAAGATAAATGATAGAAACAATAAATAAATTACAAAATAATAATAAATAGACTCCAAAAATTACAAAATTTAAAACACAAGCTAAATCTGGATATGAAAACCAACCCCAAAAAATTTATGTTAAAATAAAATGGGATATTAGATCTAATAATTAAAATTTGAAACATATTTACATTAATAACTAAAATAATGGTAGAATAATAAATAAATTATAAAATAATAGTAAATAGACAAAAAAAAATTACAAAATTTAAAACACGTGCTAATGAGAAACACATGAACAAATCCTAAATATTTTAGATTATAATAAAATGAAACAGTGAACTTAATAATTAAAATAATGATAGAATAATAAATATATTTTGAAATACTAGTAAATGGACTCTTAAATTTACGAAATTAAAAAACAAAAATGCTAAGGACAAACATATGAACACCTAAAAGTTTCAGATTATAATAAATTAAACACTGAACTTAATAATTAAAATTTTAAACACACCGACATTAATAATGAAAATAATGGTAGATTAATAAATAAATTTCAAAATAATAGTAAATGGACTCTTAAAATTAAAAAATTAACAACAAATGCTAAGGATAAACATATGAACAAAACGTAAAATTTTTAATTAAAATAAAATTAAATGCTAGACTTAATAATTAAATTTCAAAACAACCTCACATTAATCATTAAAATATTGGTAGAATAAATAAATAAATTATAAAATAATATTAAATGGACTCCAAAAATTGCCAAATTTAAAACCTAGGTTAAGGACAAATACATTAATAAACTTTAAAAATTTCAGATTAAAATAAAATCATAAACTAGATCAAATAATTAAATTTTGAAACAACTCACACAAAATTTTAGCTTAGGCTTTAGAAGATGATTTAGGGGTTTTATTTGACTTAGATTGTAGTGACCATAAATGATGAACGGAAGATTTTTTTGGTTGATGGTGGTGATTTTGTGAGATGGATGAGTGAAGAGGTTTTTTTATCTTCTTCTTCTTCTTCTTCTTCTTTTTCTTTTTCTTTTTTTTTTTTTTTTTTTATGAAAGAGAGTGAATAGTGGCTAAACCTTGGGAAGCTACAGTGGTGCTTTTTTTTTTTTTTTATATGATTATGGGTAAAATTTAGCTTAGTCCTCCATTCTTTTGTTTTCAATTTTGGTCCTCATCTCATTATTTTTTCATCAATCGCATCCTTAATTGAAATTATTTAGTCCTTTTTTTTTAATTTTTCTTAATTCCATCTTAATAAATATATGAGACATTAAGATATAATTTATAGTATTATGTGAGTGGACTCCAATGACTCTTCCGAGAAACCATGAGACTCATAAGGAAAGTGGATGACATTATTTAATAAATTCTTTTTCAAATTTTACATTAAAAAATAAACTTTTTTACTAAAATTAATTTTTTTTTGGCATATTATCAAAGAAAAAATTATTGAATAAGTTAAACACGCATGATATTGTGAAATGCAAAAAAAAAAAAAAAAAAGTCTGATGCTTCAAATATGTTAGATAAATTCAAAACAACATAAGTGTATAGAAAAATATCAAATGTACCACCAAACTATTGGAGTATTATTAATATTACATTTAAACTATTTTTTGTATATATTTTACTCAATTAAAGACTTCTGTTCGAATTACTTAAAGAAAGTGCTAAGTTTCTCATGAAATGATGTTGTTTCTTGTAAAAAAAATAAAAATAAAATAGTAGAATTTGATGGTGAATGAAAATTCTTAAGAATCATTGAAAGTTTGAGAGTAAAATTAATACCAAAAAATATTTTGTGATAACATTGAAACTATTTATAAAATTGGCTACTATTTTTTACGTTTATCCATTTTGCATTCTATGTTTTGTTGCCTACCGTGAATTAAATATAATACGTAAAAAACCTTTTACTTATGTGTTTGATAATGTAATTGAAATTGTTTTTGGTTTGAAAAATTATCAAATTTATGTATTTTTGATGTTATTCAATGAGTTTTGACATCTTCGCGCCAAAACCATATAAAAGCAATAAATATATAAAAATAAAAATAAAAAATCAATAACGAATTCTTACTCTATCTTATATTCCTTGCAATCGAGATCTTTACAAAAGGCTCTTTCAAGCTTTCGTATCTATTCATATTTAGCCGCGAGCAATCTACATTTGTGATCGTGCAAGGAGGGCAATCGGTACTGAATTTGTTGATAAATCATTCTCTGTTGGCAATGCAATAAAAGCACGTAGAAGCTATCGATGCTCGAAATATGGTAACACTAAACTAAAGCGTTCATAAAACGAAACCAGGCCCAAATAAATTATTTCAAAATCTTTGTTTCTTTCTTCTCCTTTCATTACAAATAATCCTGATTGATTTTTTGAATTTCAATAATTATGTTTTTTCTGTTTTATTACAAATAATTGGTTACTGGAGGTTCGGTCTTTTTAAATTTTTCCTTTTATTACAAATAATCCTGATTGATTTATTTTTTTAATTTCGAAAATTATTTTTTCCCCTTTCATATTTTATGCAGTGGCCAAACCAGTGACGGCACTTCCTCGAAGAAGTGAGTTCTTGGAACGCAAAAACCCATAGGCTGTTGACCCTTTGCTGCTAACGATGGAGTCATCTCTAGAAGCAGTTAACTTCGGAAAATCGATAATTGTACCTAGCGTTCAAGAGATGGCCAAAGAGTCTATGGCCAAGATCCCACCTCGGTATGAAAGACCTGATCAAGATCCTCCAACGATCTCAACTGATGCGTCAATAATACTTTCATCGATCCCTGTTATCGATCTTGAAAGATTGGCAATAGAAGGTTCCACGGATTCTGAGCTGGACACCTTGCATTCTGCTTGCAGAGAATGGGGTTTCTTCCAGTTGTGAACGAGCTTTTCTTTCATGTTATGATTCCTATGTATTTTCGCTTGTGGCACCAATACTGTTTGTTGTTGATGATATATGATAAACAGGTTGTGAACCACAGAGTCAGCAGTACGTTGCTGGAAGAATTCAAGATACAAGTTCAGAATTTCTTCGAACTTCCATATGAAGACAAGAAGAAGCTGTGGCAGCAACCAGACAATCACGAGGGATTTGGGCAGCTCTTTGTGATATCGGAGGAGCAGAAGCTAGACTGGTCAGATATGTTCTATGTAACAACCCTTCCTCTTTATCTTAGAATGAATGAACTTTTTGACAAACTCCCTTCAAAGCTCAGGTATCTGTCTTTCCATCCCCTCTTCTTCTTGGAGTACCAAAAATCCACAGTGAAATGAACAAATATGAAAGCAGACCCTTCACATTTTGGTTATTTCATTAACTAGGGGTCTAGGTGAAGCTATAGATAACACATCAATTAAGGCTAGAGTTTTAGAAATTAATAAAATCTGTTGAGCAATGTTTTCATTTCAATTCAAACTCTCTTATTTCACTGCAGAGAGACTCTAGAAACTTACTCTACAGAAGTTAAAAAGCTAGCTATTGAAATTTTGGGTCACATGGCAAAAGGTTTAAAGATGGAGGGTGAGGAAATGAAAGAGATGTTCAGTGATGGAGTTCAATCGATTAGAATGAATTACTATCCTCCATGTCCTGAACCAGATAAGACTATTGGGTTCAGTCCTCATTCTGATGCTGATGCTTTAACAATTGTCTTTCAGCTCAATGATACTGAAGGGCTAGAAATTAGAAAAGAAGGGAAATGGATTCCTGTTAAACCACTTCCAAATGCTTTTGTTGTCAATATTGGTGACATTACAGAGGTACTGTTTTCTTGCTTTGCTCATTGTAGTATATAGTCTACAAGCTGCTTGATTGGATTGGACAAGAAAAAATATGTTAAGCTTTTATCTCAATAGCAAAACTCTAATGATAAATTGTAAAGGAGAAATTTGTTATCGACTCTTAGATCTGTATCATCGAAAAATTTGATGTCCGCTGTTGCCACTGTCTGATTGAATGATGTTTGACTTGATTTTGATATCTTGAAAGATAAATTTCCGTAGAGATATCCCAACTCAGTAAAATCAGAATTCCTGCATGAGCTGCTCATTGTTTCCATCATGTGCAGAGAAGCTCCCTTTTCATAGGAATCACAGAACTAGACCTCAGCTTCTCAGAAGCATTGAAAATGCAGGCCTTCAACAAAATGATTTTTAGATTAACTATGAGAGAAGCAATATGCCTGAAGAAGAACGTGAATTGGTTTCTAATTTGACATTTATATATTTGTTAATTTTCCATCAGAACCTCAAATAGGTCACATCCAATAAGAGCACTTGGGTTATATGCAACTATTAACAACTTTAACGGCAAACATGAAACTGGCATGTATTGAAATAGGATTGTTGTTGTTCATGTTTTCCTCTACAGATAATAAGCAATGGCGTTTATCGGAGTATTCAGCATAGGGCAACGGTGAATTCAGCAAAGGATAGACTCTCTGTTGCCACATTCTACAGTCCCAAGCTAGACTCTGTCTTGGGCCCTGCTCCCAGTCTTCTTGGCAAGCGTAGTCCTGCAATCTTCCAGAGCGTCTCTGCAGAGAGGTACTTCAAGGACTTTTTTGCTAAAAAACTGAATGGCAAGTCATACCTTGACTGCTTGAGAATAGCAGATGGAGAAGACAACACTGCTCTGCACCCATATAGTAAAGAGAGTTGAATTATGTAGCTACATATTTGCAGAACTGCTAATTATATTTGCAGAAGTAAAAGTTCTCTTATTTAGCTTTCTTGTTCCTAACAATTTCTGAGAGCTATGTGACCATTACAAGGAAAAGGAGTTCCAATTAGCTTTAACGGTGTCTTGCATGCAAAAACCGATGCCTTCCATGTAAAGAAAGAAACCAAACTCACGTGTATTCTCGAACTCCATGTTCCTTTGCCGAGTTCTTTAAGACTTCTTTTACTTCTTTTGATAGTCCAAAGCAAAGTTGCTTCCTCGCGAAAACACAACCAAATCATACTTCTTTTGATAAGACTTGTTCCTTATGATACCTGTCTTTTTTAGTTTACGACAGATATCAATGGTGTGACCTCCCCATCCGCAACAGTCACACTTGAGATGTGCCCAACATGTCTTTGAGGTCTGCCCAATTTTATCACAGATTGCACATTTCAGATAAGGATTTTTAGGTGTGAAATTCCTCTCATAATTCCTTGAATTATTCTTAACAGCAAAGGTTGAAGTCTCACTTAAAGGCACACTTCCTTTTGGCATACCTCATTGTTTTTCATCTTGAAGGATGAGTGAATGAGCCTTGTCGACGCTAGGAAGTGGTTCCATGAGAAGAGTCTGTCCTCGAGCACCAGCATAAACTTCATTAAGTCCCATGAGAAATTTCTTGGTTTTTTGACTTTATTGAAACTGCGAAACTTCTTTTACAGTACCACATGTGCATGTTGGTAAGCAATTCAATGCATCCTGTTCATCCCATAGGCCTTTAAGTTTGATGTAACAAGCCCCAGTGGTCATGTTGTCCTGTTTGTTATTGTGGATGGCTTCTTCAATATGAAAAAGATGGACACTGTTAGTGCCAGAAAACCTCTCCTTCAAGTCAAACCAAATTTCGTGAGCATTTTCATTATAGATTATGCTTGCTCCAATATCTTGTGAGATTGAATTAAAAATCCATGCTCTCACAAGATCATTACAGCGCTTCCACCACTGTTGAAGTTCCATGGCGGAAGTCTCTTGTGGCTGTTTGATGGTACCATTAACAAAACCTGCCTTGTTCTTGATATTGAGAGCCATGAGCGTTGCACGGCTCTAGGTACTGTAATTTTCTCCATTCAGCTGCTGCGTGACAAGCACAAGGCCAGGACGCCAGGTTGGTCAGAATGATGAAGGTAAAAGGGCTCGTTTGGATTGTCAAACTTGTTGATCTCAGGCTTGGCTGAATTTTGGTTTTGCTCCTTTCCTGCCATGTGTATTGACTAGGTGGAGGTGGGTGATCTTTCCTGTGCAAAAAAAGAGATCAAGTAGGTTCAAGAACGTTACTGCTCTGATACCATAAAAAGAAAGGTTGAAAGGGATTCTATGTGCGTTTGTTTTCTTGATAGAATAAGGCAATATATATACACTGATATTAACTCCTAGAATAAAGCATTTATGATATAGTTTCCTATTTACAATCCTAAGATCAAGGTGCTATTAAAGACAGTTGACTATCCATATCATTTGGATATTATACACTTGAATTGCTTGATCTTCTTCCTTAACATATTGATTCACGTTCCTTAACAAATTATGTAGCTACATATGTGCAGAACTGCTAATTGTATATGTTATAGATTGTTAGGTCCAATATATGAAGACCAGTTTAAGCAACTTAATTTAACTGTCATGGGTCGAAAATCCTGTGTTGTTATCCTAACTAAAGGCTGTTTAAGCTGTATTATTTGGATTTGTGAAGTATTTCTACTGGGAAGGCCTTAAGGAGGTAGAAGAGGATCGGCAAATATTACCAATTCACCCCACCTTGACCAAAGCTGCAAATATTGCAAATTCACACCAAACTCACTTCTAATTGATGATTTGTTAAATTAGGACTCAGTCCACTCTGTGTAAATGCCTGGCCATACTGGCTGGCAAAATTCTAAGGAATAGAAACTTGCTGCTACTTTTGCAGCATGTTTGTATAATAAGTCTCTGGAATTTAGCAGAAGTAAAAGTTTTCTCTTATTTAGCTTTCTTGTTCCTAACAATTTCTGCGAGCTATGTGACCATTACAAGGAAAAGGAGTTCCAATTAGCTTTAACGGTGTCTTGCATGCAAAAAAACACCGATGCCTTCCATGTAAAGAAAGAAACCAAACTCACGTGTATTCTCGAATTCCATGTTCCTTTGCCTAGTTCTTTAAGACTTCTTTTACTTCTTTTGATAGTCCGAAGCAAAGTTGCTTCCTCGCGAAAACACAGCCAAATCAGACTGGAGATAAACGAGATCCAGCTCATCTTACCATTTATTGACATCGCCATTCTTCTTCTTCTTCTTTTTTTTTTTTTTTTTTTTTTTGACAGCACAAGAAAAGACCTTTAGGAAGAGCAACTAAATTAATTTTCTTTTATCCTATTGAGGGGATTAGGTAATACCTAGGCAGGCATCTATTATACATGCAGCCTGAATAAAGTGAATTAATTGTGGTACAAACTCAGCAAACATGGTTCCAAAAGTGAGTAGTAAATGGTAATAAGAATCCCTCAAATAACTTCCACATAAAACTTCTTATCTTTCTGTGTTCCATTTCCAGCTCTAATCCTTCTGTAGTGTGGGATTTAGTCCACTTCAAGCATCATATATAAAGCACAAGCCGCCTACACCTGTTAATTCTCTATATTATGCCATTATATAAAGGTCTCCAATGCAACCTAACGAGTCCATCAATCAAATTAACAACACATTTTGTTTCTTTCAAGATGAACACTCATGAAGTTTCAGTAATAATGTTCTTGTTTTCTCTTTTAATGGCTGCTTCTGCTGGTAATTTCAATCAAGAAGTTGACCTAACATGGGGTGGTGAACGTGCTAAGATACTCAATGGAGGAAATGTTCTGTCTCTCACCCTTGACAAGGTCTCTGGCTCTGGCTTTCAATCCAAGAGAGAGTATCTCTACGGAAGGATAGATACGCAGATCAGGCTTGTTGGTGGCAACTCCGCTGGCTCTGTCACTGCTTACTATGTAAGTCTGATTGTTAATTATTCCACCTTAGAATCAGGATTCTGATAACATTTTCTTAAATGAGAATCATAAATCATGAGACTATTCTAGTCTTGAAAGAATAAGGACTTGAATTTTGCAGTATACTTGTATATTATATTGCAGTTATCCTCGGAAGGGCCATACCATGATGAAATTGATTTTGAGTTCTTGGGGAACCTAAGCGGAGAACCCTATACAGTCCACACTAACGTGTACACTCAAGGAAAAGGGGATAGAGAACAACAATTCCACCTCTGGTTTGATCCAACGAAAGATTTTCACTTCTATTCTATTGTATGGAACCCCCAGCGTATCATGTAAGATTTTGCTATATAATCATGATCCTTGACCTTATGATATTCTTATTTTCTTGAAGAATTGCACAGAGTAGTGCTTGCAGAGTTTTCCTATATTATCTTACATGTTTCTTATCTCTAGTTTCTTAGTGGATGACACGCCCATAAGAGTGTACGAAAATCAAGAATCCATTGGAGTTCCTTTCCCTAAGAACCAAGCTATGAAACTTCACTCCAGCCTCTGGAATGCTGATCAATGGGCAACAAGAGGTGGACTGGTGAAAGCGGATTGGTCTAAGGCACCTTTCACAGCTTATTACAGAAACTTCAAGGCCAATGCGTGCTTATGGTCTTCAAGATGGTCTTCTTGTGCTTTAAAGAATGCAAGCTCCATAACAAACAATGCTTGGCAAACCCAAGATCTTGATGAAAATAGTCGTAAAAGGCTCAGATGGGTTCAAAAATATTACATGATTTACAATTATTGCACGGATTATAAGAGGTTTCCTCAGGGTCGCCCGCGTGAGTGCAGGCGTTCTAAGCATTTTTAGAGAGACTTTAATTTGCTGCTTTAATGTGATTGTAATAAGATGGATCATTTTGTGAATTTTAATTGGGTTGGTTGAAACTTGCATATATAATTAAGTTCCTAATTTTTTTTGCTGTATAAATATAATAAAGAAGGTTTTTTAGTCTTCAGATGTAGACGAATACATGGTTTTGAAAATAAATAAATAAATAAATAAAAGAACTTTCCTAATAAAAAGTTATTTCGTAAAGCAATATTCTCTCTATTACAAAACCGCTATTGAAGTTGGAAGTTTTGTCTCCATTGCCTCCTAAACTTTGTGCTTAAAAAGCTCTACAATAAGTTTCCTAACACATAGCTAGAAAAGGTCTCAAATTAAATAAAAAATGAAAGTAGGTGTTTAATTGAGAAAAATGAAAGTTTGGGGGTGTATCAACAAACTTTAATGACACCCAGAGGTCTGCGGTATCAGTATATGACTGACACAATCCTCTAGTTAAAAAATGTGTAATTGGATTCTTGAAATTTTGATTTGATGTCAGATTTAGTCCTTTAACATAAATTGAATCTCTTTTGGATGAAGAGACTAACTCTAGCACAAAATCATATTGAAATCAAGGACTTAGTTGAAAAAAAATTTTAAACCACAAGGTTGTGTTTCTTATAAATAAAAACCACAAAGATTTTAATTAAGTGTCATTAATCCAAACGAACTCAAAAATTCCATGCTAATTATTGTTTTTCCATCTTAAATTGCCTTGTACTAATTGAACATTAAATCTACACAATATTAGTGCATCTTAACAGAAAAACAAATACTTAAAAGTAATTAACAAAATAATCCTAATTATACCTATATAGTATATATAGATATACCAAAGTAGTATATAATTGGGAAAGGCAAGAAATAATTACGAAAACACTTTCTATATAGTATATACAGAAGTAGTATACAACTTTGGAGATTTTTGGGTAGAAAAGAGTTTGGAGTGGGTAGAGATTACTTAAAAGTGGGGTTTTGGGATGGTTTTGGGTGAGGATTGTGGGCGGCAACCAACCACAGAAGGAGAGGGAAAGGAAGAAGAAAATGAAAGAAAAAAAAAGGAAATCTACTATTTAGGAACATATTTAGGATTAGCGGTGTATGCCATGTCGTCAATAATATATTGATAATGAGCGACAGACATAAGTATTCATCATTAATTTTGAATTTGAAGAGTTCACTCTTTTTTTCAATATTAGCGATGAAATTTTAATCGCTAATTTATGAGAAAAATATGCTATTAGCGATGGATAATTCCAAACCCAAAAATAGTGATAGAATTAAGAATTTGTCATTGATTTCTCTTACAATTCCTTTGCTAAACAATCTATAAAAAACCCACAAATAATTTATCGTCATATTTAGTGATCAAATTAAGTTCGTCACTGAAAATTTGTCGTTAATATGTTAGTATTCCACAGCTGAAACACATATCTCGATAACGAGTTGCAGTTCATTTGCTAATCCGTCGCTATTTAGCAACGGATCGCAATCCGTTTCGACATCCATCGCTATTTGACAGCTTTTTTTGTAGTGTTCATTGAGCTAGATTATTTTCTAGTGTTTATCAAATTAGTCCTATATTCTAAAGTTGATCGTCAGCAATTCTTTTAATGGCATTAGGAGGAAAGTATGCATGGATTAAAACAAAAATATTGTAGAATTTTAATCTTATCCCAAATTCTCCTATTTCAGCCTTTTTCTAGTTGCGTGGACTATGATTCTGATTAGTTATGCTGACACATACATCTATATATAGTATGTTGATTAGCGATGGTACGTTTCCTCTCAGGCATTACCTGTATGTATGTATGCGTGTATGTATTTACATACGTACATATATATATATATATATATATATATATATATATATATATATATATATATACCACCCTTAATTCATTTTTATTTTCGTAAATTCAAGGGTCCAGGAGTTGTTAAGGAGAAGAAGGGGGAGGTCCTACCATATTGGCTCTATCTGTCTCTCTTCTTTCCTTTTGAAGATGGCAAATAGAGTTTCAATAACATTGTTGGTTTCTCTGTTTGTTAGTTCCTTCCTTGCTGCTTCTGCAGGTAACTTCTACGCAGATGTAAATATAACATGGGGTGACGGTCGTGGCAAGATACTACGCCGAGGAAATGCTCTTTCCCTTTCCCTTGACAAAGGTTCAGGCTCCGGATTCGTATCCAAGAGACAATATCTCTTTGGGAGGTTCGATGTGCAAATGAAGCTTGTCCCTGGCGACTCTGCAGGGACCGTCACCACCTTTTATGTGAGTTTAGTCTTGATTATCACATTGGGTATTACTTTTTGTGCATAAAATGACCATATAGATAAGCTAGTCAATAATTCTGCAGATTGCCTACCTTTGGATTCTATTGCACTCATAACTGGACAGAAACTCAGGATACTACTTGTAATCGAGGACATAAATTTACCATTTGATCATGGAGGCAATGACGATATTCAAACGAAATTCGAACTTAAAACCTTAGGCTAGCTAAATGAACCTTTTCTTTATTACCTTAATTAACCAACCCTTTTGGGCATTGTCGGAAACACATTAAAAATTAAAAATTGTTGTCATATATTTTCTTTTTGCAGTTATCATCGGAAGGAAACAAACATGACGAGATTGACTTCGAGTTCTTGGGAAACCAAAGCGGAAGCCCCTATACTTTGCATACTAATGTGTATACCCAAGGAAAAGGGAATATGGAGCAAGAATTCCGCCTGTGGTTCGATCCAACAATTAATTTTCACACATATTCTATTGTATGGAATCCCCAACGCATCATGTAAGTTGTTCCAGCTCAGCCTTCAATTTCTCTTGCTTAATTTACCATAACATTTATATGTTCATATGTAGGTATAGCCAATGAGATTGTAGCTCAACTGATATATATATATATATATATATATATATATCCTCTCAAAAAATCTCAGATTTAAGCCTCTCCTTTCAAACCGAAAAAGTATCGACCTGCGCATAGTGTACATGAACAATAAGTAATGTTTGTGTACGTAATAATCAAAACAAATTTCCATATATATGTGTTTTTCTCCTTGCAGTATCTTAGTCGATAACATTCCCATAAGGGTGTTCAGAAATTTAGCATCCCTAGGAGTTCCGTATCCCAAAAACCAGCCCATGAAGGTTCATGCAAGCCTTTGGGATGCGGAGAACTGGGCAACACAAGGTGGAAAAGTGAAAACAGACTGGTCCAAGGCTCCTTTCACTGCCTATTACAGAAACTTCAATGCACAGACTACCGATTCTAAAGGAGCCAAGGGCTGGCTAACTCAAGGTCTTGACGTGAAAGGTAGAAAATTGATCCGATGGGTGCAGAAGTATTACATGATTTACAACTATTGTACCGATCAAGTCGCAAATTCAGCCATCGTGAATGCATGCGATCTAGGTTCCTCTGAACACGATTAAATTGCTGATTGAGTGAGATTTTGATGCATACATTCCCCTGTACCCCTACTTTGAAAATATCAATAACGTCTGACCTTTTTCTTTTTTTTTTTTTTTTTTTGCCCTGTTGATGTGGAACTTCTGACAGCTAATACTAAACTTCGGATCTCCTGTAGAAATATATTAGACAAAGGATGGCTGTGGGATTTATTACCTTTTCTTTCTTGAAACATTTTGGGAAAGAGTATCAAACCAAGTCATGATTGTTGGGTAGTGACCAGTCCTAATTGTATTTTATTATTATTATTATTATTATTATTATTATTTTGAGAATACACTTTTAAAAATTGTTTAATATTGTCAAAGAAGCATTTCAGTACAAAAATTAAATATTTTATTTTACTTTTTATATTACTCTTCTTTTGAGTTCGTTAAATTATTTATTTTTAATAAAAAAGGAGAAAAAATGTTAAGATTTAAATTCGTAATGAAATTTGAAGATAGTAAAATCTAAATTCATGATTATTTAGTTATTAAAAATCTGATATTATATTAAAAAAACTTAATTAAAAAAAAATTAAAATATTAATTGATACTTCATATAAAGCTTCGTATTATTCTCTACCAAATATTAACACAAAAGTAGTGAGATTGAATGTAAATGTACAAATAGCTATATCACTAGTAGAAATTATCTAATTATGCTGGTTATAACGGTCAATAGAAATTTACCATGGTAAAGCGGCACATGCAAGCACGTAGTCTTTTGATCAATGTGCGTCTGGCAGATTAAATGTAAACTCAATAGCATTGTCATAATAGTTTTCTTTTATTGAAATAAGTTCGAATTTTAAATCATTTCATATATTTAAAAAAAAAAAAACTGTTTGATATAATCTTTTAATAAATTTTCAGCCATTATATGATTATATGATACATGTTTTGCATATATATATGTGTGTGTCTCAAAAGTGATTTGATATGATTTTAAAAGGGGATTTGAATATATGTTTGAACAAGTATTTTATTTGTAGTTTGATATAAAATTACGGATTTAAATGCTAAATTACCTTAGACTATTATTTTGATTATTCATATAATTTATAGTTAATGTTTATTTGATATTGAATTGCACTATCAACCTAATTTTAAGTATGCATTGTGTTTAAAATACTAGATTTGAGTATTTTGGAATATGTATAAGCTTATATGATTTTCAAAATGATTTTGTTACCTTGAGGTACCTAGCTATGGGGGTGTAGCTTTTGACCTCAATGATACGAGACTCTAGCTAGTAGGAGAGGCAAAACGCTAGCTCATGTGTTGTCCAACATACGAAACCTAGTCACAGGAGGTGTGACTTTTGGGTTTACGCATCTAATGATACGTTATATTTTCACCCCAATGGTAAATAAAACTTAGATATGTGATTTGATTTGATTATATATATATATATATATATATTGATGATTTAATATAAATTGGTTTTGAACCATTAAAGTTACGATATAAAATTTGATATTTATGATATGCATTTGTTTTGGAGAAACAAGTTTTGCATCTTAATTTGAATTTTAAAGTTATCTTCCTTAATCCGTTTCTCATCCTTATTATGTTATATAGTATCTATTTACTAAATCGTTGATTTACTCACCCTCCACTATTTCAATCTTGTAGGGTTTGTAAGGGGTCTTTTTAGCTTTCACTTGACTACTCGTCTTGAAGTCGGTACATTAATCGTGCTACTTATTTAATTATAATCTCTTACAATTTATGTTTGACTTTGTTGAAATTCTTAAAAGCTATGCAGTTATATCTTATGGGAATTGTATTAAGAATCAATTATGAATATTGATTTGAGAAATGCAAGGATAACATTGAATTATAATTTGTGTAAAAAATGTAAAGTAATGAATATTAGTTAGGACCATTATAAAATGAAATGATATTTAAGGTGATACTAGCTTGAGAATTATAGTATAAGTATTCGAGGCTTACTTGAATCGAGATAGGCCTCACAGTTTCTAAAAATCTTTCATCTTTCATGGCTCGCTCTCGGGATTATGACAAAGTTGGTATTAGAGTATAGGTTTTAGAGCCTAAGGTAACTATAAAACATAGATTCTATTTTAATCCATGTCCTTGTTTGAATTACATGGGTCAATCAATTATTGTATACTCTAGCTTTTATATTCATAGTCTTAAATTACATGTAAGAAGTAAGTTTTATCATGCATGGTTGCCTCACATGGCTTGCTTAATTGACGCACACGATTGTGTCAATTTTCTCTTTATTCTATGTCTCTTAACTACTGTTCATGTGGCTTTTTAATCTTTTTTGAATAACTCTATAGTGACACACGACCATGTCACCTTTTCCCTTATGCCCGTGTCATTTAGCTTCGGCCCATATGGCTTTCTTTCTCTCGAATGACAAATCAATGGGTATGCACGATCGTGTCACTTTTGTCTTTTATCCCGTGTCTCTCATCTACCACTCATGTGGCTTTTCTTCCTTTCGTGGATGACAACCTTATTGGTGATACATAGACATGTCAATTTTATTGCACAAACCGTGCTTATTCCGTTTACTCGTGTCTCTTTTTATGCCAAACATATGTACGGACATGTTAAGATTTTTGTGCAAACCATGCTTATTCTTTTTGCTCGTGAGTCTTCTTGTGCTAGATACACATACGAACATGTCACTTTTCTCGCTTAAGTCATGCTTAACCCTTCTACTCGTGTTTTTTCTTATGCTAAATACACGCATGATATAAGATTTGATATTTATGATATGCATTTGTTTTGGAGAAACAAGCTTTGCATCTTAATTTGAATTTTAAGTTATCTTCCTTAATCCGTTTCTCATCCTTATTATGTTATATAGTATCTCGTTTACTAAACTATTGATTTACTCACCCTCTACTATTTCAATCTTGTAGGGTTTGTAAGGGTGTCTTTTTAGCTTTCACTTGACTACCTGTCTTGAAATTGGTACATTAATCGTGCTAATTATTTAATTATAATCTCTTAGAATTTATGTTTGACTTTGTTGAAATTCTTAAAAGCTATGCGATTATATCTTATGGGATTTGTATTAAGAATCAATTATGAATATTGATTTGAGAAATGCAAGGATAGCATTGAATTATAATTTGTGTCAAAAGTGTAAAGTAATGAATATTAGTTAGGACCATTATAAAATGAAATGATATTTAAGGTGATACTGGCTTGAGAATTATAGTATGAGTATTCAAGGCTTACTTGAATTGAGATAGGCCTCACGGTTTCGAACATCTCTCATCTTTCATAGCTCGCTCTCGGGATTATTACAAAGTTGGTATCGGAGTATAGGTTTTGGAGCCTAAGGTAATCGTAGAACATAGATTCTATTCTAATCCATGTCCTTGATTGAATTACATGGGTCAATCAATTATTTTATACTCTAGCTTTTATATTCATAGTCTCAAATTACATGCAAGAAGTAAGTTTTATCGTGCCTAGTTGCCTCACATGGCTTGCTTAATTGACGCACACGATTGTGTCAATTTTCTCTTTATTCCGTCTCTTAGCTACTCGTTCATATGGCTTTTTCATCTTTTTTGAATAACTCTATAATGACACACGACCATGTCACCTTTTCCCTTCGCCCGTGTCATTTAGCTTCGGCCCATGTGGCTTTCTTTCTCTTGAATGATAAATCAATGGTTATGCACGATCGTGTCACTTTTGTCTTTTATCCCGTGTCTCTCATCTACCACTCATGTGGCTTTTCTTCCTTTCGTGGATGACAACCTTATTGGTGATACATAGCCATATCAATTTTATTGCACAAATCGTACTTATTCTTTTTACTCGTGTCTCTTTTTATGCCAAACATATGTACGGACATATTAAGATTTTTGTGCAAACCATACTTATTCTTTTTGCCCGTGTGTCTTCTTGTGCTAGACGCACATACGGACATGTCACTTTTCTACCTAAGTCATGCTTAACCCTTCTACTCGTGTTTTTTCTTATGCTAAATACACGTACGAGATAAGATTTGATATTTATGATATGTATTTGTTTTGGAGAAACAAGCTTTGCATCTTAATTTGAATTTTAAGTTATCTTCCTTAATCCATTTCTCATCCTTATTATGTTATATAGTATCGGTTTACTAAATTGTTGATTTACTCACCCTCCATTATTTCAATCTTGTAGGGTTTATAAGGGTGTCTTTTTAGCTTTCACTTGACTATCTATCTTGAAGTCGGTACATTAATCGTGTTACTTATTTAATTATAATCTCTTAGAACTTATGTTTAACTTTGTTGAAATTCTTAAAAGCTATACATTTATATCTTATGGGAATTGTATTAAGAATCAATTATGAATATTGATTTGAGAAATGCAAGGATAGCATTGAATTATAATTTGTGTCAAAAATGTAAAGTAATGAATATTAGTTCGGACCATTATAAAATGACATGATATTTAAGGTGATACTGGCTTGAGAATTATAGTATAAGTATTTGAGGCTTACTTGAATCGAGATAGGCCTCACGATTTTTAAAAATCTCTCATCTTTCATAGCTCGCTCTCGGGATTATGGCAAAGTTGGTATCGGAGTATAGGTTTTAGAGCCTAAGGTAATAGTAGAACATATATTCTATTTTATTCCATGTCCTTATTTGAATTACATGGGTCAATCAATTATTGTATACTCTAGCTTTTATATCCATAGTCCTAAATTACATGCAAGAAGTAAGTTTTATCGTGCATAGTTGCCTCACATGGCTTGCTTAATTGACGCATACGATTATGTCAATTTTCTCTTTATTCTATGTCTCTTAGCTACTTGTTCATGTGTCTTTTTCATCTTTTTTGAATGACTCTATGGTGACGTACGACCATGTCACTTTTTCCCTTCTGCTAGTGTCATTTAGCTATGACCCATGTGGTTTTCTTTCTCTTGAATGACAAATCAATGGTTATGCACGATCGTGTCACTTTTTCTTTTATCCCGTGTCTCT